GGGGTTATCCGTTACTGTTGCGTGTGCGCAATTGTCGTCACGTTTTTGGGCCAATGTAACAGCCCAGCCCAATATCAGATTGCTACTCCGACGAGGCTAGGCTGCCCAGCTATTAGCCCAAGTTGATCAGCTCAATAGTCCATTCCATCCCAGTTGGGTCAATATAAAATTTGACCCAGCCCCCAACGGTCTAATCTAAATTGAATTTTCACGTTATGATTCCAAGAAAACCCACCGCTTCCACCCTGCAGCCTTCGAACTCCTACAACCAACACATCCACTTCTCCGATTCTTCGTCTCTTCGAAATCTCATTCTTCTTTCTCTGGCGCCCTGAATCGTGGTAATTTAGATTCGTCATCCATGGTGGTCTTTTTTTTTTTTTTCCTTACAGTTTGGCATAAATTTTAGAATCCGTACTGTTTCTGTACTTGCTCTAAATTTCAAGAATTTATAGATCTCCAAAAGAGAACTTGGTAAACGGGAACTCGGCAAGAAAGTGGAGATGGGTCAGCAAGAAACACGTATTAGATGCATCCAGTAGCATTCTCAAGTGAAACACTATCTAATTCTTTGTTCTGATGATAAATGTATTGCTCAGATACGATTCATGGTATGTTGGACAATTGAAGTGATTTTTCTCAGTTTTTACCTCAGTTATGATTTAATTTCCTTGGTGTCCCTTAACTCACACTCAGTACATACAGCACTATCATGTTACAAGTTTTCAAGGGTAGGGGTAGGAATTTAGTTTTCTAATTGGAGCTTTGGACTAACACAAATTCTTCTTTCTACAGGGTTACTTATTGAAAGACTCAAGTTTAGATATAAAGACAAGTAAAAAAGGGTATGGTATTGTATAGCCAATACTGGGATGTAAAAAGAAAGGATTATTTCAGTTTAATAACTAGGGTGATTTGCATAGCTGTTTTTTATTGAATTATTGCCCTTTAAGGAAAACATAAATATACCGTACAACACAAGTGTGGATGAAAGCTAATACAACACAAGACAGTTCAGGCCACAACATAACACACATGTTGAAAAAATGAAATACACTTCTACTCAGAAAGGAAGCCAGATGTGGAATTTTGCGAGGGCAGAAAATGAACGCTGGAATCTCAATTCAACAGAGAAGTTGAGTCCTTGAAGGCTGAAGCCTTGACACACATTTTGAACCTGGAGAAAAACAGTCAAAGGTGATTTGTTATTCAAGGAAGTAATGCTCTTAATCAACAAGATAGCATAAACAAACTTAATACATATATACCCACTTCTCCACAGTAGTCCAAAAAGAGTGATGGGTTTTAAAACCTCAACTTTCTTCGTAATCTGGTAGCATTCCCTTTTACCGCTAAACCAAGTGCTGCCACTATCCAACAAAGGTTGTCCTTCAAGTTATTGGGGTGGATCTTCATGTAGTTGAACAGCAGGATACAGACATGTTTCCATGGATGATCCAACTTTAAAGCCAGAACTCCCAAAAAACCAAAAGCCATTCCAAGTGGCATACTGGGTTTAAATCCTTTCCATAATTCACTCTCGTCATCTCAGATATATCTGCCACCACTATCCAACGGTTTTTCATCTTCTGGGCATCTTGGTGTTAGCGGAGGCCCACATAATGCACAATTACCATCAAATGCATAAGCAGAAAAGCTCTGCAATTGCGTGCTTGATGGAATTCTCCCATAAAAGTTGTTATTAGACAGGTTCAAGGTGTTGAGAAAACTTAACTGGGACATGCTTGAAGGAAGCTGGCCTGAAAGTTGGTTTTGTGACAGATCAAGTGATTCTAAGTTTCTCATCTGTCCTATATCTGCTGGAATCCTTCCTGTCAATTGATTTCTTGATAAATTCAATTGCACCAGTTCAAAGAGACTACATATCTGCTGTGGAATTTCTCCATTTAATTTGTTGCTTGAAAGATCAATAAGCCTCAAATTCTTGAGATTTTTTTCAAATTCATATACTTCTCCTTTCCACACAATGTTCGCTTTGTCAACATAGACATCTTCACTAAGGAAATACCTGCCTATAGATCTAAATAAATGTGAGTGATCACTGTCTAAATTCTCCTTTCTGGTCAAGGTAGTCATATTATGAATGCACCATGGTATGCTTCCGGACAGACTGTTGTTAAAGAAGTCTAGTACAACAATATTTGTCAGTTGGCATAGCCGTAAGGAGATATCTCCGTAGAAATTATTGGATCCAAGCAGAAGGTAGGTTAGATAGCCGAGTCTTCCTCCAATCCAGTCTGCTACTGGTCCTGAGAAATTGTTATGACTCAAGTCCACAAATTGCAAGTGATTGCAGTCTCCTAAAGACGAAGGTATTTCACCAGAAAAGCTGTTGTTGCGCAAACCAAACGTTTCAAGCTTGTTAAGAGATCCAGTAGAGCTTGCAATTTTCCCAAATAAATGATTGTGACCCAAACTTAGAATCTTTAAATTTGGCCAACTCGGCAGGCAGTCAGGAAGCTCTCCGGACAGTTGATTGAACGAAATATCAAGGAGCTCAAGGGTCTTACTGGATGTAGAACAGAGAGAAGAAATATTCCCAGAAAATCCATTGTTGGAGAGAAATAATGACGTGATATTAGCAGGGAATAGTGGTAATGGACCCTCTAACTTATTTTGACTAAAATCTATCCCAGCATAATCAGAAAACTTCATTGACAAATATGGCAGAATTCCATAGATGTGGTTGCAAGAAATATTTAAATAATTCACTCTAGAAGATAATTCCCAAAACCACTTGGGAATGCTATCTGAAATTCCGTTACTAGAGATATCAAGAGACGAGAAGGTTTTTTGAGTCTGTAACCATTTTGAAAATTTTGGACCTAACTTGCAAGAACTGAGAAATATGTCATCCAACTGGAAAGAAGGAATCCAGTCAAGACTACTGTTGAAGCTCAAAAAATTAGAAGACATTGCCAACCCTTTTAACTTGGAGAGCTTTGAGAAATGTGCGTCAGTGATCACCCCATTTAAAGAATTTTCACTGATGTACAATTCCTGAAGCTCGGACAAGAGTCCGATGAAGTTGGGTGCAGTCCCATTTAGTGTATTGCTTTGCTTGAAACAGACAACACTTTCAATGATGAAAAGTTTCTAATTGAGTCGGGCAAGGGTCCCATCAATCTGTTATTATCCATGTACAGAGTCTCCAAGGTAAGGTCTAGACATCCGGATAAGTTACCAAAGACCTCAGGAAGCATTGCTTTGAGATTGTTAGAGGACAGGTCCAAAAGCCTTAATTTGCACAAATTGCCGAAGGATATTTGAATCCCACCTTCAAATTGATTACTTCCGAGGTATAGTTCTTCTAGGAAAATCATGTTACCAAAAGATTCTGGAATAAAACCTTGTAACTGATTTCCAAATAGGTCAAGATGGACAAGAATATTGCTAAAGTTGAAAAGCCATTGGAACAGTGGAGCAATCAAGTTATTAGATGATAAATCAAGGACAGCAAGAGAAGTAGAAGTATTGATCATGGGGAGAGGTTGTTGAACGACATTTAGAAGATTACACAAATTGAGCTCTAGGTTGGTTAGATGAGGAAGCTTATTAACCACCTGCAGCCAGCTATTAACCTTACTAAGGTCAATTCCACTCAGATCAAGGTGTTTCAAAGAAGAAAGATGAAAGAGCCACCCAAGATTTTCAACATTGTAAAATTCATTAAAACGAAGATCAAGGGAACGCAGAATTGTAAGGTTTCCAAGCAGACTAGGAAGAGATCCACTTAAACTATTAAAGGAAAGGTCAAGATATTTTAATTGCTTGAGTGAACTGATTGACTTTGGAATGCGGCTAGAAGTAATATAATTCCAACTGAGGTTCAAAACAGTTAAATGCTGCAATTCAAACAAAGAAGGATTTAGCGTACCACTAAAAGATTTATCATGAAGATCAAGCCAAATTACGTGCCCAGTTTTGTCGGTACACTTAACTCCTGTCCAGCTGCAGCAATCCTTTCTCCGTTCTTCACTTCCCCATGTGGAAAGCACACCATGCTTATCAACTAGACTTTTGTAAGGGTAGGTCCGAGGTGTCCAACCTCGGATATACGACGGTAATTCCTTTATAACCGAAGTAAAGGATAAATCCAAAATTTCCCGCTCAAATAGCTGCATGACAGCGACAATAAGCATGCCCACACTTGATTGCTTATGATAAGCTGCACAGCAGTTATGATGGACATCCTTGCATCTGAATATCTCTTAATTTCTCGGTCCCGAAATAACCATCTGGAGAGACACGTCAGACTCCAATTATCTTTCTTGGCATGCCACGTAAGTTCCTCACTGAAGCCTATAAATACCCCCCAAGAGCGACGTAAAAAAGGTAATTGAAACCAATCTTAAGTTCATTTTATCCTCATTCTAAAGGTAACCCCGATTATTGCTGACTTAAGCATCGGAGTGTTTACCTCGAAGTCAACTTCGGGGCTTTGCAGGTCAATCCGGAGTGCAGACTCAAACTGAAGAAGGACTTCTGGTTTGGTGCAATTACAACTTTGTTTAGACATGAGAAGTGCTTGTCTTTCCCTCTTAACGCACCTTGCCGTAGCAGCTGCGGATGTTGAATTGAATCCAACAGCACTTCCCGTATGTAGTAAAATTACAAGTGCACAGGCAAGTTGAAGGGACCCCCTACCAAAAAATATCATCTTGAAAGTTATAAGAAAAATCAAGAAATGGTGGAAACTTAAACGTATGGTTCTCCGTTTGAGTTCTTGGAGCCATTCCACTTATATAATCGACTTTCACGGAACACAGTAAGAAGTTTGTCAAAAGTGGACATTAAAGAATTTAGAACATTATTTTATTTTTGGTTGGAAAGCCAAGGGCGTGTTTGGTTTGTTCGAATTTTTTTTTTTCTTAAACGGCTAGTAATTAAGGTATTGAGAGACATTAGCTATATATCAATTGTATTTAACCAAACTAAACAAAGTTTAATTTTGTTTTGATATATAGGGGTTATTAATTGTTGAATATTGTAAGAATTTAAATCTTGATTTTAACTTATAAATCATAATTAAAATTTTGTAGGTAGCGATTTTAATGTATATGGACAACTTTGTGATTCGATCTATGTGGTAAATGGGCTTCCATTTGTAAAAGCAAAGGTCCATATGGATTTTAACCCTCAAATTCAATTATCAAAGTGAGTATTTTTTTGTACAGGTTAGATATGAAATATATTTAATATTTAAGTTGAAAATTTTTTAGTATAACTTTATATACTTAGTATTTACCCAAATACTTGAAGATTTATATTTGATATTTAATCCAATAAATACCAGTTAATTTGTGGGTATATACTTATGTATTTGTTGAATGATATTTGATTTTATCTTTTAAAATTAAAATTTAATAAAATATCTAAACTTAAATAAAACTAATAAAATTTTAATAAAATATTGTTTATTACAATCTAAACTTAAACATAATCTATAATAAAAATAGAGAATTGAAATTTGGTTTCATATTCAAAAGTTAAATCTATATACTATTAAAAAACTAAACTCAATTAAATAATTAACAATAAAGAACAAAAAATATGTACTAAAAAAAAAAGAATGAAAATAAATTAAATAATAATAGAATGAAAGTCCTTGAAAGAAAATGCCTAGACATTTTTGGGCTCATAATTCTCCTTATCCTTTGCTTTAATTTATTAGAATGGGATAGTGACCGATAATATTGTATCTATTTTACATCTTGATGTTTATATTTTTTACTTACTATTTTTATCATGTTAAATTTGGAGTTTGAAACTAAAAAATCATCTATACAATAAACAAAAACTGTAGCTCAAAAATCACTAATAAAAAGGGAAAAGCTAAAAGAATCAAAATTTGAAGTTATAAGTACTCACCTTTGCTTAAGAGTGCAAGGAAGGAAAAAGGTTATTGGCTGCAAGTGTGATATATATATTTAGTTTATGATTTGTTATTTATAGGTGTGTGTATGATTTCTTTTATTTTTATTTTTGTATTTTATTATTTTTATTTTTAAAAATTATTGTTATTACATAGATATTAAGTTTATACAAAATTGTAATTATATAAGTACAAATAATATGTTAGTTAAATAAAATGATTAAATAGGCCGAGTAAACCGTTCTAAACCCTTATACTTATTACTTGACTTGATAGTTACAGATATATTATTTTTATAACCATTATTTACCTAAGTTTTTTACCATTCAAGTAAAATACTTATTTAAATAAATAAAATACATACAAATAATAGGTATACCCGTTTCCAATACTCACCCCTATACAAATATATTATACCAAAATTCACTTCCTAAAAGGAGACGCCCTGAGTTGAAAGCTTGTTGAAGCCGAAGCAGTCTTAGGAAAATGTTGTTTAGTTTGTCGATTATGCCACTTTAATAAAGATCCGGATGTCATAATAACAAACTTCAAGAAGCCAAGGCTATTCACTATTTGATTGGTTGAATTACCTGCTGGCTGCTATCTCTAAGAAATTAAAGGCTTGGCAAAAGTTCCATCAATCGCTGATAAAAAAAAAAAACAAAAAAACAAAAAAGAAAGGCTCCATCAAACGACTTTCTTGTGATAATATTTTGAATTATGCCACTTTTCTTACATAGGGTGAGTACTTCTCTATCTTTCTTATGCGTGAATCTTTCTCATTCGCCCTCCATTTTTATTTTTCTCATGCATTAATCTTTCCTATTTATAATTCCTGCTGTCTCTAAAAAAGGTTTGGCAAAAGTTCCATCAATCAACTTCCTCGGGATAAATATTCTTAGTTATGCCACTTTTCTTACATAGGGTAGTGCTTCTCTATTTTTCTCATGCGTGAATCTTTCCTACTCGCCCTCCATTTTTATTTGAGCAGTGCTAAGGGCACTCGCTTTTCGCACTCTCCGGTCAGCACTTTCTCTTTTACTGGGCCACGTTATCTTGGTTTCCGAGAAGTTGCGCTGAAAGCTTTAAAAAAGCTAACGTGGCCCAATGAAATGGAAAGTGTGTGCCGGAGAGTGCGAAAAGCGAGTGCCCCTAGCATTGCTCTTTTTATTTTCCTCATGCAGAAATCCTTCCTATTTGTTTGTTGAAATTATGATTAATCACATTAAATTTATTTTATATACATCTTAATTTTATAGAGAATATTTTAAAA